CCACTTGCTATTTTATTAGTTAAACCATTCTTTCCACATCACAGGGAATTTTGTGAACTCCCAGGAAGAAACAGAGAGAGAAAAATCTAACCTAAGCCTATTGCTTAGAGCAGTGTTTCTCAACCTTGGCAACCTAGTTGGCAACCATGCTGGCTGGGGAGTTCTGGGAGTTGAAGTCCACACATCTTCAAGCTGTCAAGGTTGAGAAACACGGGCTCAGAGAAACCCCCCACTTGTTCTTGTCTTTGCTGCAATTACAAGTCATTAGTTAATCAGTCCTGAACTGCTCTCAGGACGCACAGAATTCAGACTGTGCTTTGCTTTGTAGGGAGGATAAGTGTCCATTACTTTCCAGCCAAACCAGGTTGATCACCCCATCAGAGATAGGGCAGAAAGAGCTTAAAGTTTATTATTAATTCAAACACCCACCTATTCTCAGGGCGATTTCAGATGCATCTTCTCCTCCTTTCCCCCCATAAATTCTCTTGATCACCTGGAACTGTACAGTAGATGGCCTGGGGTTTGGGGCTGAGTTGCAAATCTCCAGGCTATGTAGAACCTCCAAACTGTATAATTTCCAATCATTATGCAGTAGGGGCCATGTGAAAAATGTAGCCCTCCAATAGGCATAACATTACCCTTTCTAATCGTCAAACCCATAAATCACAAGTTCATTTTTCTCTTTTTTCAGCAAAAAGCCCATCAGGGGTTTCCAGTCACTAATCAATGTAGTTATTGATCTTTCTCTAATCAAAGAAGTTAATTTTGCCATCTTTGCTAGTTCTGTCAAAAATCCACCTCTTCTTTAAAAAATATGTATGCAGTATGTTTAAGCATGGCTATGTATAGCCAAGGATACATGTAAATATGTATATGGGTACTGAAGGACAGGATTCTCCATCATGGGTCGTGATTCTTCAGGGAAGTAGGAACCAGCTTAAAGAGGATGTGGGATGGGAGGGAATCACAACATTTTATTGGTTTAAGTGCTATCAAAACTCACTCCAGACTCAATCTCTGCTTTGCCTGCACCGACTCAGCCACTGGGAACCTCTGTGATCTATGGATTAAAATTTTATTATTAAAAATAAGTTACTTGTCTAACCCTAACGCCAATGAAATGTCTAACCCCTAAACCCTATGCAATCATTTGTTTGATTCATGAAAGGGGTCACACGATTTCATTTATCCTTTGGGAGGGGGGTCATAGTAGTGCAATGTTTGAGACACACCCCCGGGGGGGGGGGGGGGGAAATGGCCCAGAAAACACCAGAGAGAAATTGCCCATGAAATGCCTCATAGAAGAGAAAAATCACTTGTAGAAGTATAGATATCAAGGTAAGGTTGAAAAAGTCAAGGTGGCACCTGCGATGGTGTGATCGAAGTTCTGCCTGCTTTTAGGGGTATTGCACATAAATCACACCAACGCAGCTGCTGTCTTGACTTTTTTGACCATACCTTGTGGATATCTGTGGTAGATGCTAAGAGAAGCATGAATGAAAATATGTCTATATGGCGTTGTCTCTTCCAGCAGAGGATCTGTGAGCAAAGGTCTCCTCCACCCATCATCCTCACAAGAACCCTGTGGAGGAGCTTCAGAGAAGGGAATTTTCCACTGAAGACCTTTGCTGCAGAGATGAAACTAAGACTTTCTCCCGCGTGGATTAGCGTGGAATACTTCATCATCACGAACGATGCACAAAAGCTGATGAGATAATAAAGCCTTGGTTTTTCTCAAGCCACAAGACTTCTACTTAGTTCTCTTGAATTCTTGCCTCGTGCCCTTGAAACCATATTAGCTTTGATGTTCATGAGATTGTTCCTCTTCACGGTTGAAATTCCTAGTATTTGCCCAGTAAACTTGTTTTGAATCTGTTTTGGTTGTTGGCTTCTCTTGAAGCAGGGAGCAGAGATATATTGCTTGAACAAGGACATCCAACATCCATAAAAAGGGAGAGAGAGACAGAGAGATGGTTATCGGATTGGGCAAAGGCAAAATTTAAAGCAACCCAGTAGAAGAACAGTTAAAGCAAATGTATCCACGTGTGCACCATAAATTGGTCCGTGGGTTGAAGAATTGATGCTCCAAATGAAACCAAGCATTCCTTGGGGAGACATATTTCTTATAGGAGTTTTCTTTCATGGCTTCTCTCTTTTCTTTTTATTAACAGCTGGTGGCCCTTGAACTTCGCATTGATCCTTTGAGGTCAGTCTAATGAGGGGGTGGAGGAGGAAAAGGGGTGGCTGGCCTCTTCTCCTTTGTGTGAATGATCTTTCAGTCCCAAGGAAGCAGGAAGGCAGAGCAGGCGCTGCTCTCCAAACAGCTTCAGCAATGTGCATTTTCAAAGATTATAATATAGACTGAGCAATCCAGTGGAAGCGGGTGGGGAAAAAGTGGATGAAGATCAGTCGTTTCTTAAATTCTGCTAGGCTCATGCTGGTCAGAGTAGAAAGTAGAGAAAATCCATCCTCCCTCCCTCCCTCCCTCTTTTTCCTTCCT